ATTGTTGAGTATACACGCGTGGTTCCATCAGCTGATGCAGTGAGGAAAATACTTTTCCGGAAAGGTGAGAAGCTCGCGTCATATACGGGAGCGGTATGAGCTTCGAAGACAAAGTCCATGGCACTCGGGAATATTATTGTAGGGTCGAGTCTGGCTTCATACACCGTTGCCAGTGTCACTTCTTTACTGCGTTTTACAGACGCATACGCCTCCACTTGTCGACGTGCCGCAGGGATCTTTGAAGTTGGGAGTTTACTCACAAGACGTGCAGCTGTAGCTGTCCACTTCTTGTCCCCTTTAAAGTCCGACGAACGAACATTTGTGGCAGCTTTCGCGAAACATCTAGCGATGACGCCACCTTCTGAGCCAATGACGAAAGCGCGACTGGCTTTGTCCGTGCTACTGAAGGCTAATGCCTTACCACCGATCACCGGCGAGCGTGTGTCATCGTTGTTGCTTTTACTTCCAGAACCCCCGATGCCTTGGGGTAAATGCATGACGTAACCTTCAACAGGGAACGCAAGTTTGTCTTTAACTCGCCAAAAGAGAATTTTACCATCGCCACTCACACTTGCAATCTACAGGAAAATGGAGTTAGTTGCTGGTAAAAGGGAAAGAGAGTTTAAATCTTACGTTGTAGTCGGCGGTTTGGATGTCGTAGACCCAGGCCACTTTGGTGACTGGGTTCGCGGTGGAAATAGTCTCCGATACCTGACGAGTAGAATTTATACTCAGCAAGTTCCATATCCCACACGAAGACTTCTCCATTGAAAGAGCCAGCAGCAACAACGGAAGGATTTTGGGGGTGAAACGCCACACACATGAGTCCACTCTGTAGGAAGCGGCAATTTCAGATCGGAATTGTAAAAATCGGGACTAGAATCCGAAACGTACCGATGTTTCTAGGACAAGGGAGGGTTTCTGTTGGTTAAGGTCACTTTGGAAGACATTCCATAAACAGAGGGCCGATCGATAGTTGCACCACCCGGAGTGGTCGAAGCGTCCATACGCAACTGCGATGACCGACCCCGTTGCATTCCAGGACACACCCGTGCACGATAATCTCAATGAAGATAAAGATCCTGTTGTGGTTGTCGTTGCAGTGCCTTGTTGCGGCTGGAAGTACGTGTCGTAGTCGAATTGCAGTCGAAAGAGTTTGGTAATATCCTTCTCCTCTGACTCTTCCAAGTATCGTTCTAAACCTGCATCAACATATCAGTACCAAGATTCTGGGAGAGGAATTAAACTGTGGCGTACCGCTGAAGCAGGAGCTGGTGGCTCCATTCTTGGCCATTTCTCGTAGCATGAGTCCTCCAACGTTTTGCAAGCACTCAGCCACTTGTCGTTGGGTTTCTTCTTCAGTATTAATTGTTGCATCTTTGCCTTTGCCTCTGGCTGGTGGTTGTTGGGTTGGACCCGTTTGAGTGGAGCTCGAGACGATCTCGCTCTCCGTCTGAGCTTCACAGTCGAACATGTCGATTTCAATCGTTTGGGCAAATACTTCGGCCACTGTCTTCGTTCGCTTGGCCGCGAAGCTCGCACTGCCCAGTGTCACGTCCTGGAACATGTTGCCTCGTTGTCTTAGCAAGATGCCAAATATCGCGTCTTTTCATGCCAAAAAGTATCTTTTAGAAAAAAAATACCTTTTGAAAAATGGTGTTCATTGCCACTCAATTGAGAAATTCACCACTTGCAAATTTGTGGCACCGGTTCATGGAAAACGCGCATGTAGTTTTGATTATCGTTTTGTGCACATATCTGGTGTCAAAATTCACAGCCTACCACGACGGAGTGGCCGCCGCCTCGCCGCCGCAACCTTCGCCACAGCCGACACCGCTCGAAGAAATAACCTTTGGCGCCTTGCCACGCATGGCGGCACGGAACAGATCTGCCTTGTGCTGCTTGAAGAGCGTCTTCAGACCGCCTCCGTTGAGGAATGCCTCCTCAAGTTGCGTCAACGAGAAGGCCACCTGGTGGTCCTTGACACTCACCACTCGGTTACGCAGATCCACCGTAACTTCCTCACCTTCAGCGGCCAGTTCGTGGAACTTCTCGTCCGTCACGACAATGCCCAACAGAGCGTTGTTGGGCTGGTTACGAGCGTAAATGTAAGCGAATGACTTGGCAATCACGGCCTGGACGCCGACAGCCTTAAGGCAAATCGCGGCCTCTTCACGAGACGAACCACTACCGAATGCCGTACCGGCCACAATGATGTTTAAGCCCTCTTTCACCTTCTGCGGGAACTCGGGACGCACATAGGCAAACGACTTGGCAGCGAGCACATCCAGCTCTGTCTCACACTCAGCAGGCCACAAAGGCGACGACTTGTTAAGACCCATAAACTGGGCCGGGATCACAGCGTCTGTGTCGATGTTGTCGCCGAACTTTTGCACTTTGCCACTGAATTTAGGTGGCAAAGCAGCTTCCAGTTCGGCAACAGCAGCCTGTTCCTTGGCCTGCTGGACGGTCTCTTCATCGTTACCCGAAGCGAGCACGGGTTTGGGCTCCGTCACTGTGTACGACTTAGTCGTTTTGGCCGGTGATGGCATGGACGAGTCCGGCTCCACCCAGTTACGGTAGCGGTCAAAGTCGTCCTTGTTGATCTTGTCCAAGTACGGCAGAGGGTCCACCACCTCCATATCGAAGCTGGAGGCAGCCACTACCGCCGCCGAGCTTAAGTTACCGATCGATCCTTTACCCATACGGTTCCGGAAGTTTCAGTTCTGACTGGAAAGCCACACTTCACCTTCGCCGGCAACATCGGCACCGATGCCGACACAGAAACTGCAACTCGGCACGCCGACAGTGAAGCCTGCTTCTTCGTAGATACGGACCAGACCAAGTTCTTTTAGACGGTCGACAATCTCCAGACTGCCGGGAGTAACACGACGGTTGCCGTTAGCCGAGGGACGTTTTCCCTCCAACATGGCTTGTTGCAACACCATTGCACCTAGAATCAGATCTTCCTGCGTGGTAGTGCAGGCACCAATGAAACACCCATCCAGCTTCATTCCGAGTTTCTCCTGGACACTCACACAGTTGTCGGGCGATGGGTACAGAGCGATCAACGGCTTGACATCAGCCAGGTTGATCACATGGTGGGCGGCGTAGTTGCATCCCTCGTCCGGCTCAAAGAACAGAGCTTCGTCGAAGTGAGACTCGCGTGCTTCGAGTACACGTTGCGTGATGGTATCGGCCTGGAACACGCCGGCAATGCCACCGAACTCGGTACTCATGTTCGCGACGGCAAAGCGAGCGTCGTCGGACAGGTACTTGAGCCCTGCGCCGCCGTAGTACACAGCACGCTCAAACGCGACGGTGTTGCGCTTCAATTCTCCAAGGATGTGAAGAATCACGTCCTTACCACCGATACCGAAGCTCGGAGCGCCGACAAACTCAATGTAGCACACTTCCGGCACCTTGAACCACGTCTGACCCGTGACTAGTGGCATAACGACGTCGCCAGCGCCCAAACCGGCAGCAAATGCGCCCATTCCACCGGCACTGCATGTGTGGCTGTCAGCGCCAATGACGATCTGGCCGGGTTGCGCACGCTTACGAGCAAACTCGGTGTGCATGATGGTAGTGTTGGCAGGCTGGAAGTCCGTGAGCCCATGGGTCTTGGCGAAGTTGGTAGACATTTCAATAAGCGCCTTCTGCTTAGGCAAGTGGTTCACACGCGGGTCCACCGTGTGGTCCAGAGCCAGCCAGAAGCGGTCGGGACGGTGGAGAGGCGGTCGGCCGATGGCCTCGTGCATAGTGTCCATGGCTTGGAAGGTCAGTTCACTGGCAATAGTCCAGTCAGCCTTGACACACAGCACGTCGCCCACGCGCACGTAAGGCTTGGAGAGGCCTACAGCATGGTGGCACAGGATCTTCTCGATCACGTTCATCGGGGGAGCAGACGCCATTGTCACGGACACGCAAAGTCGAGGAATGAAGCGAGTCCGGTGGTGCGTTGCAAAAATGGCAAAGGTGGATGGGCGACAAAAATGAGATAATTGATACCCGTTATGTTGTTTACTGTTATAAATCGGAAATAGTGCTGCTAACAAAAGATTAAAATTCATCTGAGGCTGTTATGTACCGTATCCTGCGATAGTACATCGAATGACAAACATATATTTTAAAAGGTGTTTGCGCATTCGTGGCTCCTGCGGTTCATTAGATGAGCTCGCTCGACTCAGCGCACACTTTACAAGGTTCTTCATCATCAGGCAATGCTCAAGCAACGACAATGTCCATGTTGATGCAGCTACATGTAAAGAGTAATCAAGCTGAGTTCGCCACCCTGGCAACTCCTACGGCTCGTCAGCGGGGTAAACAAGTCCAAGGTCCTTGCGGATTTTGTCCATGATGTTCATGATCCCCAGCGACTCAGCATGTGAGTACTCAATGCATTCGATCTCGTTGCGTTGGATAGCCTCCGTGGCAGCTTCAGCTCCGTAGAGGAAGCCCGAGTGATGGTCACTTGGTGTCGGCCACGGAAAGCGCGACGTCTTCTCCGTCTCCTTGCCGCTTTCGTCGTACGTGGCGACCGAGATCTCCATCGACGCGTGTGCCGGCGGGTGGATAAAGATCCGCCCTTTAGTGCCAGTGATCGTCACCGTCTCACTGATCTTCGCGAGTGTCGAGTACTCAAGCGTAGCGAAGCGCTGACCACTGTACTCGAGCGTGATGGAACTGTACACGTCCACTCCTTCGTCATTGAGTTTCCCAGCCGACGAGATCTTCTCGGGTTTAAACCCAAACACCATCGTGGCAGTTGCCAACACGTAGATACCAATGTCCAATAACCCACCGCCGCCCAGTTCTTTCTTCCAGATACGGTCATTGTCGGCTTTGAATGCCACTCCGAAGGCCGAGTGCATGTGATGCACGTCGCCAATGCCGCCTTTATCGATGACTTGGCGCACAAAGCGAACTGCGGGGAAGAACCGCGCCCACATGCCTTCCATGAAGAAGAGGCGTTTCTGTTGCGCTAGTGTGATGACTGTTTCGGCCTCTTTCGCGCTCATGGCCATGGGTTTTTCCACCAGAACATGTTTGCCATGGTTCAATGCCAATAATGCAAGCTCACAATGCGTCGGGTGGAGTGTGCCAATGTACACTATATCCACCTCGGGGTCGTTTCGTACGACTCGTACGCGTTAGAAATGCCTAAACACAAGTTGCAGCAAAAGTTGGTTAATTATCACGATGAAAAAGAAAAGAAAACTAACTCATACCGTGTTTGTTGGCAAACTCTTGCGCTTTATCCAGTGAACGAGCTGCGCACGCGTGGAAAATGGCGGTTTTAAGTGGCTTTACATTGCTGGCGAACGTGTGGGAGATGCGTCCGCAGCCGAGAATGCCCCAGCGCAAAGGAGTGTTGGTAGCCATGGTTGTGGCAAGTGCAACAAAATGAAGAATCAAGTGATAATTTGCCTCTGACAAAGTCAAAGGGCAAAAAAGTGTTATCAGTTGCCAAGCATATCCTGAATTGTGGTTGAAGTTTTGAGCTACGTGGCACTAATCAGCAAAAATGTTTCCTAGTTTGCGTCAGTAGGGTACACAAGCCCGATTTCCTTACGGATCTTGTCCATAATGGTCATGATACCAAGCGATTCATCCAGCGAGTACTCTTTCGCTTCGAGTTCCTTGGACTGAATAGCCTTCGTGACCGCTTCGCCTTCATACAAAAAGCAAGAGTATCCAGCGTCTGGCGTAGGCCACGGAAACTTCGTCGTTGCCGATTCTTCTTTGCCTGGTCCAGAGCTGCGAATGACGGAGACTTCAGAAGCGACATGAGCTGGCGTGTGGATGAGGATGCGTCCAGTAGTTCCAGAGATCGTGACGGTCTCACTGAGTTGCACCAGCATAGAGTACTCGATGGTAGCGAAACGATTGTCGTTGTAACGCAACGTCACCGAGTTGTGTACGTCTACACCGCCATCGTTGAGTGTACCGGCCGTCGTCACCTTCTCAGGCTCCGTACCGAACACCATGGTCGCGAAGGCAAGAGGATAAATGCCGATATCGAGCAAACCTCCTCCTCCCAACTCATTTTTCCACTGACGCGCTTCGTCTTTGGGGAACGGGTAGCCAATCTCGGCGTGAACGTGGCGAACTTCTCCAATTTCGTTGTCGTCCAGTAATTTGCGAACGAAACGAATGCTCGGGAAGAACGAGTCCACATGCCTTCCATAAGGAAGAGCTTCTTCTCACGAGCCAATGCAATGAGCGACGCTGACTGCTTCGCGTTCATTGCCATGGGTTTCTCGACTAGAACGTGTTTG